TTCTGCTTCTTGGATTGCATCCTGACTTTAAAATAAAGGAAATTATATAATTTAGGGCACTGATTCTCAACATTTAAAAATCCATGTCTTATTTGGATTAAACATAAGCATGTCTCTCCTCTGCTTTCTCTTTTCACTAGCTATGACAGACCCTTCTTAAAAAAGCATTCCCATTATATTAAGTCATTTCTGGTTTGGCATTGATACAAAGATGGTGTTTGTTATTGTAGTTTGTATTGTTTAAAATATTATTAATTCTGTTTTTTTTCATGTGTAACATTATATTATGGTAACAGCTGCTAAGATTTTAAATTAAACACATCCACTTCCACAAATTCCCCACTCTTTACCCCTCCTCATCACTCTTTTGGAGGACAAAGATGAGACATGCAGGTTGCTCTTCCAATTTGTACGTAGAAAGCCTTAAGAGACCATAAAATCACTCTACACCCCAAACCAACCAGATAGATGACATAATTATAGTTTTTCAAAAGGCCACCAGAGAGATAAGAACACGAATAACAACTGAGTTAAACTTCAGAAAGTGACAGTCCTTTATATGAAGAAAGACCCACAGTGGTTCTCAGCCCTGACCGAAGTGGAGGGAGGAGGAACACACCATACGTGACGGTAAAAAGAAAACAGCCTATAACTCATTTTAATGGCAATGTGTGGGCAGATGAGACAGGTTAGACTCCAGGGAAGCCACACGCATGCAGCAACACCTAACACCTCGCAATTCTTTCCCACTGATATCCGCTAACTACTGGGGTAGGACCACAAAAACAAGGGCAGTGAAGAATTGCAGAGAACAACTCTTAGAGATACACTGGTCTTTCAGTTAAGAAAGACCTGTAGAGGGGCAGAAGAGCTGAGAGAAAACCCCCAGCCCTCCAGCTGACTAAGACTGTGGGTAGAAGGAGCAGGAGAGAAGAGAGATCCTCCCCAAGACTTGATGCTAAGAAAGACAACAATTGGGGCAGAAATGCTGAGAATAAACTGCTCTAAGACAGTACCTGCTTACAGGAAAAGTCCTGATCCTACCTTCAACATATTTGAAGCCAATGGTAAATTGAATCAAACTAAAGCTGTAACAAGGCCAAAACCTAGCTCAACTATAGATTATATTGACTCAGCCTCAGCTTTAGTGGCCTGATAGGAGAAGGTGCATTGCCTTTTTTGGAGGATATTTCATTTAATTCATTGTGTCCTGTACTTTTAGAGAAAATGTCCAACACACTGTCAAAAAATATCAAAGACGTACACACACACACACACACATACACAAAATGTGACCCCTGGTCAATAAGGGGAACTATTAATAGAAGTTAACTAAGAAATACACAAGTTTTAGAATTATCACATTATGACAAAAAATGCTAAAGTATTTAAAGGAAAGGGTGGAAACCATGGGCAAAGAGATGGGCAATTTTAGGAAAGTATTAGAAAACCAAACGGAAATGATAAAAATAAAAAATACAATACGAGAAGTAAAGAATTAATTAGATGAGCTCAACAGTAAGCTGGAAAAAAAGAGGAAGGAAACTTGAAAAGTGATAAATATAAAGTATCCAAATTGAAACACAAAGAGAAAAAAGATAAACAAAACAGTATTTGAGATCTATGGAACAATATCATATGATCTAACACTGGTATCATGGGAGTAATAAAAGGAGAGGAAAATAGAATAGGCAGAAAAAATATTAAGAGATAATAAATAAGAATTTTCTAAAACTAATGAAAGATATCAACCTACAGGTCCAAGAACTGCAGCCAATATCAAGTAGAATAAATGAAAAGAAAGGCACGTCTATGCACCTCATAGTCAAAATTCTGAAAGCTAATTTAAAGAGCAGATCTTAAAAGCAGCCAGAGAAAAAAACATACACTGCCTATAGGGGCACCAAAATATAAACTATAAGTGACTTTTTAATCACAATAATGGAGAAAAACAAGGAATGACATGTTTAAAGTGCTGAAAGGGAATAAAAATCTGTCAACCCCCAATTTTATATAGAGTAAGAATATCCTTCAAAAATGAACATGAAATAAAGACATCACAGACATACAAAAGCTGGGAGACTTTGTCTCCAAAAGACAGCAGTACAAGAAATGCTGAAAGAAGTTCCTGAAGAAGAGAAGTGATACCAGATGGAAAAACAGATCTGTAAGAAGGAATAAAAAAGTACCAGAAAGGATAAATATCTAAGCAAAATAAAAAGAAACATACAATTTAATACATTTATTATATGCATATATTTACAAATTTCTAGATGAAAATACAATGTATAGTGAATGTTATAACACATATAGAAATAAAATATAAGACAACAATGTCACAGAGGATGGGAGATGGATAAATGGAATTATGCTACTGTAAATTTTTTATAGAATCATAAAATAGAATAATATTATTTCAAGGTAGACTGTGATAATTAAATATGCAAATTGTAATTTATAGAGCAACCACTATGTTTAACATAAAGAATAAAAGCTAGAAAGACAATCTCGGAATTTAAATGGAATATAAAAATGTCCAATTTACTCAAAAGAAGTTAGAACACAAGGAACAAAGAAACAATGGACAAATGGAAATGAATGAATGAAAGGAACTTCCCTCAACCACTATTATTGAACACCGAATGGCTTTGGAAATGAGATTTTACTATAGACTTGATGTTTCCTCATGAATTCAATCTAAAATTACAAGGCAAAATAGGGCTTATATGCAAACTTATACTGCAGTAAAATCATTTTGACACAACTAACATTGTTTGAATCACAAATAATGTCAAGCTGTTTTACACACTTGCCATGCTGTCAAAAGTTAAAACAAGAAGCAAGATCTCCATTCCAACACAAATTTGCAGCAGTTATATTTTTCTGAACTCAAACTATATTTCCAATGGTGTTTTTTGGATTTCAATGCAAGTGCAAAGGAAATTTCCATATATTATATGAAATCCACTTAACTGTGCAAATGAAGAGCTTCCACCTACCCTTCAACTGGAAGTGATTAACCTGCAACGTAATGGCATGCTAAAGGGGAAATATTAAAAGAATTTATAGAGTTCTAATAGAATTTTAGAAATGTCTTCTAAGCAATGAATACACTTAAGTAAAATCACACACTCATGGATTGATATTAATATTTGGCAGCACCTGTCTGCGTGGAAAGATATTTGCAAAAGTGAAGTACATAAAATCTCATTAAAAATCAACATTAACATATGAACACTTGCAATTTTGATGATAGAGAGCACTTACTTTACACCCCAACCAAACGACATGTTATTACCCTTGAAAAGATTTCCATTCTTCTGTATTAAAATTGCTATTATTATTATACTTTACATTTTGTCAATAAAATTTTGTGGATATTTGTTTTCTTGTCATATAAGTATCTTCCTAATGTCCTCAATTTTGTCTCTTGACCTATAAAGACTAAAATATCTACTATCCGCCCACTACAGAGATTGTCAACCGCTGTTTTAAATGCAGCTTTTGCCAGAGCTGTCACTGTGTATTTTGCTTTGGAACCACAAACATTCCATGTCAAACTAAATATCTAAGAATCACTTGGAGGAGGTAAGGAGGAGTTGGGAATGGAAATAGAGAGTTAATTTAATCCTGGGGTTAAAGAATAATTGTAGCTAACTTTGACTACACATAGCATGTAACTCTCTGCTAAGGAAGCATTTGTATATATTTTCTCATTTAATCCAAGAATCTTCTAAGATAAGTCCTCTTTCCCCCCTCCCCCCCTTTTGTAGCAATTCTGATTGAGTTGCCAGAGGTCACACTGATAAGTGATGTAGAGGACTTAACCCAGCAATGGGACATCAGAACCAGTACCTGCAACACCAGTTAAGAGGGGCAAAGGTAAACAAAAAATTGTTGAAGGGGAGGAGCAGGGGGGCAAAGGCAGAGGAGTTGGTATGGACAAGACAGATCTCACAGGGAGGGTAGGACCAATAGGTGGCAAAAACCCATTCCCACCTTCCCAGCAACAGGACTCTTTCCCACCCCATCTCCTTTAATAAATTCTGGTTCAGAGTGCTCTGATCAATGTGTGAACAAAAGTATTGTTTGTACAAGTCTGAACACATTTTATCATGCAGAAGAGGTAAGGAAAGTGGGTAGGAAAAATCCACGGGGTGGGGGAAGATCTGGGAAATGTGTTCTGGCTCCGTGCATGGAACGTATAGGTATGTATGTATATATACACACATATACATACTTATAGTGTATTTAACATATTACTGTATAAAGACAAAATTACAACAAATTTCATTTAACACCCCACATCCACACATTAAACCCCTGTGTATGTACTAGCAGGGTTTAGAATTTAAACATAATGTTCTCAGCTTTCAGCAGTGGACGCTCCAGGGCAGTTTGAGAGTCTATAAGTAATAATAAAAATAGCGGAGTGATCAGACCACCCGTGCTCAAGGCTAGCGCCCTCTGCCCTACCCGCGCTAACTTCCCGCAACTGCTCTCCCGACCTAACATTCCTCCCGCTGCGGGATCCCGGGCGTGCACCCGGCCAGAGACGGTCTCCGCGCGGCGGGCCCGGGAGGGAGGGTGTTATCTGCAGCAACACGTCCGGTCAACTGCAGTCGGGTCGCCGATTTCGGCTGGCAGCGGCCGCTATTTCTTTAAATGGGCAGTGGATTTCGAAACGGGAGGGGCGGTCGGGGACAGGAACTCGGCTGGCTTTGATAACCGCCCAGCAGCCGGCCGGGCCCCGCACCGCGCGCTCGCCGGGCGTCCCCCGGCCCGGGGAACCCCCGCCCGCGGGCCCGGCGCTGCGGCGCGGCCGCCCGGCTTTGTCTGCGGCGTCGCGACCCGGCGCCCGCTCGCTCGCCCCGCGCTTCCCCGTGCTCAGCCTGTAACCCGATCTCCCATTTCCTGGTGGATTCTCTTAAAGAGGCAGCGGTCGAGAAGCAGAACAAAGGCTATTGTTTTATTTCCTCCTCCGGGTTCCGCGTCCTTACCGGAATGGCCCTTCGCACATAACCATTTTCCTCGCCTCTGCGCCCAGGGCAGAGCCTGGTTCAGAGCCCGCGTGCACACACGCGCGCGTGTCTGGGGCTGAGGCGGGGGAGCGGGAGGAGAGGGATAAACCTGTCCCGCGGCGTCCGGGCCGCGGCGCAACGTTTCGCAAAGGCGCCTTCCCGCGGCCGGGAAGCGCCCGGCGGCCCGGGAAGGGTCCGCGCGCCGCGCGCCCGCCGCCGCCGCCGCGGCCCGCCGCCGGCGTCCTCCGCCCGCGCCCCCGCCGCCGCCCCTCCCCCGCCGGCTTTCATTTCCCCGATGCCAGGCTGTAACCCGAGCTTTTATTTCCTGGTGGCTCCTTTAAGAGGCAGAGCCCGGTGCTGGGAATTCACGTCAGTTTCTGCACTGAAACTCTCAAGATCAATGAGCAGAGCGCGCTCGCAGTTCTGCCTTTCAGTTTCTCTCTTCCAGGAAGGAAAACACGCGAGCGAGCGAGGGAGCGCGGCGGGAGGCGGGGCCGGGGGCCGGCCGGGTGGGAGGAGAGACGGAGGCCGGCCGGGCTGCGCCCCACCGGTGGCCGCGTCGCGCCGCGACCCGCAGACCCCGCCGCGGCGCTCGCCGGCTCCCACGCCCGCCGGCCCGCGCGCCAACTCCGCGCCCGCCCGCCCGCAGGCCCCCGGGGCGGCCGCCGGCGGGGATGCTGGAAGAAACTTCTTAAATGACCGCGTCCGGCCGGCCCCGGAGCGTTCTGGGCTGGGCAGAGGAAAGGAAAGTGGAAAAAGCCTGAGAACTTCCTGATCTCCCTCGCCGTGAGACATGTCTGAGACTCCTGCTCAGTGCAGCATTAAGGTAAAATTCTCCCCCTCCGTCCCCGCGGCCGAGCCTCGGGCTGCACGCGCGGCCGGGGACAGCCGCTCCGCGCCAGGGGCTGCCGCGGTGGCCCGGGCGCGGGAGCCCGTGCGGGCGCGGGAGGGACGCGGGCGGCGGCGGCCGTCCCCGCGGCGTAACCTTGCGGCCGCCCCCCGCCGAGCCCGGCCCGCGCGGCCCCCACCCCTTTCTTCCTGACGAGGCGATGCCGCCGCGGTCGGACGGCGGGGCCGGGATGCCTCCGGTCCGCGCGACAGCCCCGCAATTAGTGCGCTTAAAAAAACCCCTGCTCCGTGTTCCTGCACCCAACTTGTGACTGAAATGTAACTTTGGTTCCCCAGGGGTGGTCTCCTTAGAAAAAGAGTTCCTCAGTCCCCGTGAGGGATGGAATCATTTCTTTTTTTTTTTTTTAAAGGACTCTCTGGATTTGATCAGACAGGATTTCCACCCCCCCCTCCTCCTCCGATTGTAATTGCAAGCGCTGTCGGAGAGACAGTCCTGGTGTCAGCTTTTCCTGGGCATTGCACAATGAATTTTTTTTTTTTTTAAACGAAGGTGAATAAAGTTGCTGAATAGTTATTTTACTCCGATGCGTATGAAAGTTGAGCAATCCCAAAGTAGAAGACTCGTGTGATGCAGGGAGAGAAAGAACTAAGCGACCAGGCAAAATGACCTTCTGTGTTTGACAGTGCGGGGAGGGTGTCGAAGAGCAGGAATCTCCCAGCTTTCTGGCCATGTTTTGCAGTCTTGTAAATGCAGGATGGTGGATGTTTGCAAACACGGTGCTTGGCTTCCAAGTAGCTGTGTGTATGCGTATCTCTATAGCTATGAAGACTGTGGTGCTGCCGTTTGTTGCTTCTACAAAGTTGTTGTAAAGTTTGCCACCGTTGGGAGGCAGGATGATTTATCCATCTCCCCCAATTATTTTTCCCATCGCTGCATTTATTGTGCACTTTACTCATTTCACTTTTCCATCAGTACTCAGGAAGAAAGCCTTCTACTCTTGTGAGGCTGACACTGCTGAAGTTTGTTTTTGTCTTGGCCTATTTAATGTGTGTTCCTTGAATGGACACTACGGAAACAATGGACAGATCACCTGTTTTTTCATCAAAAACCTTTCCTGTTTTAACACTGCTTCTTAATTAGGATCTATGTAGGGGAAAGGCAGTATTTTATCATACTTGCTTACTGGGTTTTCATGATTACAGTCAGATTGTAGGGTTTCTCATCTTTCCTGATTTTCATGGGTTTGAGGTAAGGCTAGGGTGAACTCACAAGGTGAGTTGGGTTTCTTTGTTTTTGCCTCACAGAAATGCCCGGTGGAACTTTTAGGCTTTTGCGTTTGTATATATTTGGGAGTGGCAGTATATCTGTGGGTAGGTATGAAGGGGGTGCCACACTAAAGAACTTAGGGTACTTTGATACTTCAAGACCAATTTCTTTTGCAGTATAAATTAGATTCTACATGGAGTTCAGCAAAATCCTGCAGTATAGATAATCTAATTTATTTGAAACTTCATAACACAAACAGAGGTAACTAAATAATAGAGTATTAAACTAGTGAATTGTATTTAGCTTGTTGGCAGTAAACGTAACATCAGGAAAATCCGCACGAACTTACTGGGTCAGTAACTTTAGGGTGAAAACAACAAAAAGTAGTGCTTTCTGTGACTTTTCTTGGTAATTCTTCTAAACTGCTCTCACTGTTGTGATGGGGCTTGTGGCTGTGTGCTGGAGGCAGCGTGCTACTGAGTGGCTTGTTTCATTGTGCTTTAGTGGGAAAAGAGTACAGCAGTCCCTTTCTGCACACACACACATGCGAGTCCCAAAGAAAACACTTTCTTAAATATGACATAAAAATTGTGTCCATAATTTGCATGTCATTTTTCCCCCTTAATGCTTACGCTCTCAGTTCTTTTAGGGTGCTTCTTTTCATCACTGTATTCTTCTTTGTAATTTAAAATAGATATAATGTTCTTCACCAGTAATGAAAGTATCACTTTTATTTTGGATTGGTCTTTGGGGAACTGGAATGCTTAAACCGTGCATGTGTTTAAGCACATACACGTGAAGAGTATCTTTCCGTGGAGTTTGTTTAATTCACTGTGTTCCAATAATAAGCACTGGAGATCAAGGACAGGGATTATTTCAGGTCATCTGAAAATGTTCTGGTGATGTGCTGCGTTTCGTTTAGTCCCTGGGATGTGGTACAGTGACTGCATAATAAAAAATGTTTGCTGGTAGCCCACAAGCAAGTTGCTTGCTTCTAGAGTTCAGTAAACAGTATGCTTTTCTGTGGAGTAGAGAACGAACATCAGAGGCTTTCAAGGATGAGCCAGTGAACCTGATATACCGAACTCCTGCGACATGGAAGCCTCTCCCACTTCTCTCCTCTCCTGCAGCCTCCACACTTGCTCTCATTCCTTCCAAGCAGCCGGTCAGCAGCAGGCAGGCAGGCAGTGCCTCGGCAGCTGGCAAGGTGGAGCTCGGTGGAGCTCAGAGGAGCCCGACCACAGGCGGCCACAGAGGGAAGTACTTTGTTTACTTCTGAGCAGTGTCTGTTCTGGTAGAAAAGAGTAGTGTCTGATTTGGGTGGAGTTGCCAAGGTGAAAGTTTCTGAATTGGCCAATCAGTGACACCTTCGTAGAGATTGCTAGTGTGGTGGTGGTTAACAATCAGTGCCCGATAAGGGCTTTTATATTTCTTTTGCGTTCTGTAAGTGTGATCCCTTTACCTAGGGAAGTGAACAGCACACACACTTTTTACAGTAAAAGAAAGATTGACTAGCCCAAGGTCACCCAGACTGTCACTGAGCCCCACTGTTGCTCTACTTGGGGCTGTCCCCTCAAGCGCTGTGGTACTCTTATCATGAGAGTTTAAATGTTCCAATTCCTGACCACTTGGGGCTGTTTCAGTGTAAGGATGAGATCGACGCTCTATAAAAAGTAAAAAAAAAAATTTTTTTTCAGGGGATTGCATGGCTGACTGTGCTGGTCACAGGAAGAAGGAAGAGGCTGTCTTTTCCATCATCAGCCTTCACCTTCAAGTCACCTGTTCATTTTTAAGTTCAGCCAAGTTGCAGCGGAAAGTGGTTATGGCCCAGCAGACACAGCCCTTCTTCAAGCTTGGCACAGTGCTTTAGTGGGCCAGGGTTATCCAGAATACAAAACTAGTTGCATAATGTCCCTGGTCCCCTCCTTCCCTGCTCTCCTTATCAGTCAGCCATCATAGCAGAATAAAATTTGGGTTTTTCTTTTTTTTTTTTTTTAATTTTACTTCTACTTGGGAGACTCTCTTGATCTTCCCTCCTAGATGCTGAGCTCCTTCGGTTTAGTGGTAATTATCTTGGTGTCCAGCACCTAGCTTGGCAGCTGGCACAGAAATGTTTCTCAGTAATGTTTGCTGACTTGAAGTGAGGGGTGGGAGGAGGCCAGTGCCCTTTCCTCTCTCTGGCTGTGTGTGACCTCAGGGTGACTTAACACTTTCATTTGCTGACTTACAGGAAGCATTTAACAGGGCCCGGGCCACTGCCTCAGAGAGAGCTAGAGCACTCCTGGGGTGTCTGTCCAAAAATTCTTATTAATAGAATTTTGATGTAACCATATGTTTTATTATTTTGATAAAATTCTCCAAAAATGCTTTTGTGTCAAAATAAACAGAAGAAGGAATTGATTAAAAGATATACCAAAGGGGCTTGAGGAATCACTTTAAAAGGTTCGGATTAGCAGGCCTCTAAGTTTCCCCAGTTTCCCAGACAGTAGAATCAGGGGACTTTTAGATATTCAGCATTGAGAAACCTTAGAGATCGCCTGGGCCAACCTCCCATTTTTTATAGAGAGGAGGTCCAGAGAGCTCAGTGGCTTGCTTGAGCCCGTTGGGGACTGAGCCAGGTTCGGAGCAACACAGGCCTACTGGGTCCCAGGCCACCACGCTGCCTTCTCTGGGTTCATGGTGAGTCCCTATAAAAGGCCAAGGAAATTCGATACAATAGGCTTCACTCTCTCTGGCACTTCCTAGCTTGGTCCATTTTAATCACAAGCCAGCTGTCTGAGGGCACGGGGGTGTGTGCCAAGAAGATGGTGTGTGGGGGGAGAAATGGGCCGCAAGGGTCTCGTCATGTGTGAGAAGAGGAAGCAGTAGGAGACAGGGATGAGGGAAGAAGGGGCCGGTGCACTTGGGGTTGCACCACTATTTGCAGCAATATTTTTTTTTTTACAGTGCACCGGGGCCTGGTAGTTCTGCTTTGGGCCCAAGGTGCTGGTACCTGCTGTCAGGCCCGCTGCTCTGAGGGATCCTTGAGTGGGCCGTAGGCTTTCATCAAGGGCAGGC